CGTATATATACATACATACATATATATATATATATATGTTTGTGTGCGTGTATTTGTGTCTCTATAATACTGTGGATGTAGATCTGTGCGCATGTATTTGTGAGAGAACAAAACACTAGTCCGTCTCGATGGTTTGCGCACTATAACGTTTTGTACTATAAAGGCTGTTTAACCGTTAAACGTATAACGCGACGTTGCGCACAGCGTGACGTTTAATTCTTCGACTTTCCAGGAAACTACGATGAAGTTTATTAAACCCACGGGAAAGTTTGCGAAGGAATACGATGACCGCCGCTACATATATGATGTACCTCTGTGAAATCGTTGAATGTTAGTTCTCTCTCTCTCTCTCTCTCTCTCTCTTTCTCTCTCTTTCATTTTCCTCATCGTCCAGATTACAGAATGTACTCGTGATTCATTTGAGAATTTCATTGACGTACGTAAATGGAAAAAAATAAAAGAAAGAAAAAGAAAAAGAAAAAGAAAAAGAAAAAGAAAAAGAAAAATAAGAAGAAAGTTTTTTCGAATATTATACGAGTATTGACCTTCTCGTTCAATTGATAAAGAATTACGTTCTTTATATACAAAGTTTAATTTTATTTATTTTTAAGATGGTTGTATTTCTCTCTCTCTCTTTCTCTTTCTCTCTCTCTCTCTCTCTCTCTCTCTCTCTCTCTTTCTCTTTCTCTTTCTCTCTCTTTCTCTCTTTTTCTCTCATTCTCGGTTTCTCTATTATTGAATATCTCCTCTCGTTCTATCGCAAAATTTTCATAATGAATCTCCATTAAGCCGCTTAAAGCCATTAGCAAATCATTATCTTTCAATGGTTACTTTTATGAAAGAATAGACGTTGATGATAACAACGGAATACATCCCTAATATGATCCGTTTGAAGCATTCTATTTGTATTCCTTGATAATATTGAAAAATAGTATTAAAATATCTAAAACGTAATAGCATTAATTAATTCAACAAATATTCGGAAGCTTCGGGAACAATTTATTTATTTATTTATTTATTTATTTATTTATTTATTTATTTAATTAAAGAAATTAAGAAAATTAGATTTCTTTTCATTTTCTTTCTTTTTATTTTTCCTTTCTTTATTTTCTTTTTAACCAAGTAAAAAAAAAAAAAATATTACAGAATTATTAAAATCACGTTGACATTAGGAAAGCCGCGAACTATCTTTTTGAATTCGATCGTAAGCAATGAAAATGAAATGGAGTCTAATAAGAAATAACTATTGAAAACAAGGTAAAAAAAAAAAAATCCAAAAGAGAAAGAAAAAAGAATAGAAAAAAACGAAGTTACCGCAATAGTTCGATGGTATTCCGGAGTCAAACGAAGATATAAAACAGGTTGGATTGTGTTATCCCAATAGTGTGTTCGTTCATAAGACGTATTATAACTCGTCTGTTGAGTATATATCGGTTAGATCTGTAAAGAACAAGAAAAGTAAAGAGAAGATAGCAAAAGAAAGGTAAAGAAAGAAAAGAAAAGGAAAAGTAAAAGAAGAGAGGAGAAAAAGAAAAGAAAAGGAAAAAGAAAAAAGGAAAAAAAGAAAGAAAGAAAGAAAGAAAGAAAGAAAGGAAGGAAGAAAGAAAGAACGGATGAGAAAGATAGTTCCCTTTTGAGTCGTTAGCGCAGCACGATTCCGTGTGCTCGACGGGTCGAAGAATTCTGCAAAGGAGAATGAAGTGTGGATGCACCAAACGATAGAAGAAATAGAGTAAGAAGGTTGATAGGAAGGAAGGAAGGAAGGAAGGAAAGAAAGAAAGAAAGAAAGAAAGAAAGAAAGAAAGGAAGAAAGGAAGAAGAGAGAAAAGAAAAGAAGATACCGATAGATAGTTCGCGCGCGCACAACCAATAGATGTAGATGTAGGACTCGTAGAAACGTAAAAGAAGCAATACAAATAAGAATCTTTTAGGAGTGCTAGTGGCGTTGCTGTAGCTACCGATGATGCTGGTAGTACTGGTATTGGTGGTGTAGTAATAATGGTGGTGTTGGTAGTTATGGTAGTGGTGATGGTGGTGGTGGTGGTGGTAGTAGTGGTGGTGGTAAAGAAGATAGAGAGAGAGAGTGGGAGGGAGGGAGGGAGAGAAAGGGAGGGAGAAATGATAGAAGAAGAGAAGAGAAGAGAGACGAGATCGGGATATCGGGGACGTGGTTGGGGGTGGCGCCGCGGGCCGCGCCGTCGCCCAGCATCCCTCGTATCCCACCCGACCACCCTTCTAAAGGCGTACCCTAGCACTGAGAGAGTATCTGCTAGTCATACGCCGGCCCGTTGCGAGCACGCTGATACGGCTCGCGTGTAGTACGCTTACGTCGTCCTCGCTCGACGTGTACCAATTGCAAATTCCATTCTTTTTCTTAAAATCATTCCTGTTCCGGTTTGACCAATCCCAAAGAAAAAAAAAAAAAAAAAAAAAAAAAAAAAAGAAAAAAAAAGAAAAAAACACGAAAAAAGAAAAAAAGAAAATAGCAAAAAAAGAGAGAGAAACAATTTAGTCACTATCTTCGATATATTTCTCACAGTGTACGCGTATAATTCTGTTGTATTTTGTTTCATTTACGTTGTTTTTTTTTTCTTTTTTTTTTATTAATTATTTTTTCCCTTATCCTCAATCGTTATCTTTCAATTCCGACATGACGAGTATAAAATCTTTGTTAAGTTTAAAAAAAAATTGAAAGTTCATTTAATTCATCCGTTAATCCGACGTTTCCATTTAAAAGGATTTCCTTTTTCTCTCTCTCTCTCTCTCTCTCTTTTTCTTTCTGTTTCTCTCTCTCTTTTTCTCTATTATAATTACTAGTATTACTGTTATTACTAAAATCTTTTTTTGCTAACCAGTGAAAATTGTATGCACGAGAAATGAAATATCGTCGTTAGTTTCGAGGCTGCATTTAGATCTCGTCAAAGTCCTCACATGGTCTATGTTTTGTTCCCTGATCCACCACCACTGGCTCCAATCGTCGTGGCTCCCTCTCGTCGTTGTCGACGTTTCATACTTCTCGTTTCAGTGACGAGTTTTACTCGCGGCTGAGATACAAGAGCACGTTATACGAGGATATATTTATAGAACGACTGGGTACCGTCGAAAGAAACGAAATACTTTGGTGTTCGTCGTGTTTGCTTTGTGTTAAATTCAATTTTAACAAAACGGATAAATGTTCCGTCGTTAAATATATAATAAATGAATATATATATATATATATATGTAATAATATATATGTAATAATATATATACATATAAGACTTAGACATTAGTGTTTGTAAAGATATTGAAGAAACATTGAAGAGAATGTTGAGTATTACCATGTAATAACTTTTGGGGAAACGTCAAGGGTTTTGGATTGAAAGCGAATCGAATAATCGATATCGAGAATTGTATGAGCTACTTATTCTCTGCGTGAAAAGAATACAAGTGATCGTTCACGTTTAAGTTTCTTTCTCATTTAATAATTAAGGACGAAGGACTGAAATCCGAAGAAAAAAAGAGAAAGAAGAAGAAGAAGAAGAAGAAAAAGAAGATAAAGATAATAAGAATAAAAAGAAGAAAATATAATAAAACTAAGTCGAAGCTAGAATGGATACTTTTCTAATAATCGGCATTTGCTTTCTTTGCTACGAGATGTGCGACTTGATCAGGCGTTACGCCACGCCGCAAAATACGGATCTTCATCGATCGGTCGAATCTCCCGCGGCACCGCCACCACCGCAAAGGATTTTCTCGATTTCACGGAAAATACAGAATCCTTCCGCCACTTGCTGTCAGCGATAGATCATAAAATTGAGAATTTCACTTCAAAATTTACAACGCCACTTTTTATCCTTTCATCCGACGGCAATTATTACACTCAATGACAAATAATAATATTACGATGATTGATTCAAGAAAGAAGATCATAATACGGTTCTACTTTCTTCAAGATTCAATCTCAATCGCAAAAAGATCCATATAATATCATCCGGATGTTGATACGACAAATATTTCAAATCGATAATTTTATAAGTTTCTCGAACTCGATTATTTCATAGTGAAGATGAAGTTCGTCTAATTCCGTGTTCTCTTATTTTTCTTTTTTTTTTTTTTTTTTTTTTTTTTCAAAGATAAAAGAAAAAACCTTTCAATATCTGTCATTCTATTATCGAACAATTAAATTGTTATTTCGATTCGAAACGAAAAATGGACATGGTCAACGTTCTTCTACGAAGTGAATGTTAAATTTGTGAAACTCGAAGGAATCTACCCGGCGGCAGGGTAACGAAGGAATCAATTTTCTTTACGACTGTTTGCGTTCTGTTAGCCAACAGTCGTAAAAGCCGTCGCATTGATCATCGGAATTCATCGAGTGCAACAAGAAAGTTTCACCTATCGTTCTCCCATCCTTCTTCTCTCTTTTCTTTCTTTCTCTCTCTCTCTCTCTCTCTCTCTCTCTCTCTCTCTTTTTCTCTTTCTCTTTCTCTTTCTCTCTCTGTATCTCTATCTATCTTGCGATATCTACGAACGTAAACATATTTTATGGGATCCCTTCGAGGTGTGCGTACTTACGTACGCGTATCAGTGTCGTAAAATTTGACATTCAGTTATAGTGCTCGATCCTGTTGCATGTTTTAACGACGCTTTATTCATACGATCTCAGATTAAATTTATTGACTTTATGTTATAAGTGATAAGAATATGTGAAAGGAAAAAAAAGAAAATTTTTTTTCCTAATAAAATAAAAATTGTCGCATTTGTTGATAATATATATTTCGATCTTGTGTCGTTGATAAAAGAAAAAAAAGAAAAAAAAAAAAGAAAAAAAAAAAGAAAAAAAAAAAGAAACAAAAAGAAAAAAAAATAAAAAGAAGAAAAAAACAAGAATAAAAAAAGATATATATAAATATAAATATATATATATATATAAATATATATATATACACGTACGTATGTATATTTAATTATCGTCAAAGACGAAATAAGGATCACTCGCGTGACTCGCGATTCGAAAGTGATCCGAAAGAAGATCCGAAAAAGGGAGTAAGAGAAATGGACTCGCTGGAACGACTAATGAGCGCTGGTTCTCACCATCCATCCCTTACGGCAGCCACGCGATCTCAAAACGCCTTTGTGCAGGCGAATCTCTGCTCCGTGATTGGTCGTAAGGGTCGACACCTTACCGGCACCTTCTGTTTGACCGGAGACACGATGGAGGGTATCATTCAGTGCCTCGTCTTTCTTAAAGCTTTTTCG